ATAGGTGGTTGAGTTTTAGCTTGACGTGCTCCCCAAGCTTGTAATGGTGTAGGTCTAGCCATGGATGCCTGTGTACTCGGAGATATAGTGGACACAGTAATAGGACTTGGTGATCCAGCTGATGTTGGACCAGAGTATATACCAGATGATGGACTTTTTCGATAGTCTTGTTGAGATTGTGTGGGACTTTGTCTATTTTGCATAGAAGCACTGTAAGATGGTGGTTGAACAGGACCAGACGATGATGACGGGACTATTGGATAAGGAGGCGGAGGTTCAACCTGCGTACTTGAATTTCTATCGCATGCTTGATAGATACTGAGTGCTTGCATTTGTTGAGATAATTGTTGTTGTACTTGTGGACCATTCTGAACAATCATTGGTTGGCGGCTATTAGTATTACTATTAGACGATGCTACAGGGCTTGTACCCCTTTGAGGTGGATTTCCTGATCCTGATGTAGATCCAGAATTACCAGGTGCTGATGGAGGAGGTCGTGTCGGTACAACTGGAGCGGGAGACATTCGCTTGAGCATTTGCTGCATATTACTTGGTACATTTGGTTGACTATATGGAGCATGAGGTGGTGGTGGCGGTGGCGGTGTAGAACTACATCTTGGAGGAGGTGGTGGAGGTGGTTCACGTTCTACAAAATTGCTTGGTGAATATTGTCGACTTAATTGTGGATGTGGACTAAGTTCTGTCAAACGTGGGCTGTCAGATCGTGAACTTCCTGCACCACTATCTAATGCAGGACTTCCTCTTTGGAGACTTAGCTCCCTTTCTAAGCTTGGTTTTCTTATCAGCTTGGTATTAAGTTTACCAAGACCATTAAGAGATTCTCCTTGTGCTTGTTTTAAAAACTCTATTGCTCCATCTAAGCGCCATCCTGCGAGTTTAAGGGCACGTAACCCTATTTCCTGTATATCAAATTAATTAAATATAGTATAGAAATAAATTTTTTATAATTTAGATTATAGACTTTCAAATAATATATTTCCAAATATTATATATTTATATATAATCAGAAAAATTACTAATATTTTTACAAAAGTTACAAAATGTTTTGAAAAATTAAATAGAAACATTACAATATAATATACATTTCTTTTATAAGAAAATAACTATCATGCTATATAAAATAATTAAATAATTATAATCATACCTCTGAGTATCCCATAGCTAATAACTGTGCTAATGCCTGCCGTTGATCAGGTTTATCTGTGCAACCAGATGCAGCTGAAAGACCACTGAGACCGGATGCTGAACTGATACCACTAGTTGTGGATAAAGTTGATATTGTACTGGCTGCACTGGAACCAACTTCTCCAGCTCCTCCAATGTTTGCAAATGGTAGTAAAGAATTGCGGATTTCAGCTAGTGCTTTTTGATGGTATCCAGAGCCACGAGTGCTCGATTTGCTGACCGCAGGTGGATTCATAGTGGCCCATGCTAGGTCCTTAGGGACCTAGCTTTAATCTGGCTGTGGCATATATATATCTACAATTAAAATATCTGATTATAGATATTTAAAATTCATAATATAAACATAAATAATATATTATTGCTACCATTAATATTACCAATTATTTTATATTGATACTTAAAAAATGTTGTGCTTATAGTTTCATTAAAATTTGACATCATATATTTATAAATTACAAAAGATTATTATTGTTATAAAACAACTTTAATATATTTCATTTGATTATTCTTTATATTATTTATTATATGTTACTTTTTTGTATTGTAGAAAACCTTATAATCTCGATGTATAAATGAACAATAATATTACTATATAAGATAACGAAAATATATACATATAATAATGATTGACAATAATGCTTACAGAACAGAATCGATGTTAATGTACTTTTGCATAGATGCTCTGGGCTGTCATGGTAGTAGAAACGATATATAGTCTAGCGATCCACAATACACAAAGGGTTGGATGCAACACTGCGTTATGAAAATACTTCACTTGCATTAATGTCACATTAAAAGTATATGTTTTTTATAATTCATGGAAAGAAGTAATATAATACAGTCTGTAAATTATAGATGGCTAAACTTGTTACTGATAAAAAATAAAATGATCAGCTTTGTTATATACCATCGAATGGCTTACAATTTCGTGCATGTTTTATGTGCGAAATTGCAAGAACTATAATAAAACATCGGTGTACACAAAATTTTCAAGAAGTGCTCATCGTATTCTCGTACATGTTAGGGCTCATCTCCAAGCTTAACCTATTCTATATAGGTGCTATTTAATCGATTATAAATTCTCTCTATATATAATCTGTCGTTCTTAAACACTTTATTCAACACACAATTAAGGTGTTCGCCAAAGAAATACTTCAAGTAAGTTCTTTTAAAGCAATGGTGACGAGAATGTGATTCCTGAGCATATTCCGTTCTCACGTTTTTCTAAGATCCATTTAACGACTATAATGTGCCTGTTGAACGTATGATACACTATTTTTGGATTAATTCAAATGTTCTCTTTCTTGATCCACCGTCGTAATTATACAAGCGATAACAAAGAAAGATAGAGCCGTAAATTACTAAAGTGACTGGCAGCCATTTTGAAGTGCCACATTCCTACACCGACTTGACACTCTTTTTCGTAATTTACGGTGTGCATAAAGTCTATGTGAAGAAAAACCAATGAATCTCCATATTAACATAGTGATAGGACCTCTAAATGAGATTTCCCGTTTATTTGAAGAAAATACATTTTAGTTTGCTAAAGCTATATTTCAGAGTGATCCCTCGGTCAATTGTTGGTAATACGAGAGTGCATCTCCATGGTAAATGGATGTCAACACGATTTTCTACCAATCGTTCGTATTTAAATGTAACAAGTGCTTATCTAATGCTCCGATTGGTCGATCTAGAAGACTTTGTAAACGTAGTGCGTTACTGAACATATTGTGTTCAATATTTATTATTATATATTCATAGACAAATATATACGTATTGAATATATATTGATATTGCTTCTTTATTAATTATTAATTATTATATGTTTTTTTCTTTCTTTTCTTTTTTCTTTTTTTTTTTTTTTTTAATATAACGACAATTAAAAGAAACATGAAAAATTACAAAATTTATTTTTATGATTTAATTAATGATTACAAAATCATTAAAGATTAATGAACATGAAATATGTTTAATTGTTGCTATTAATTAAATTTCATAGTTTAAGAAGTTAATAGTACACGTTTTTAATGATATTTTTTTATTTTAGAGAATTTCTGTTATATGAAAAAAAAAAGAAATGTCAATTTTATATCTATTTAATGATTGTCAATGATTGGTGCTTTCTAATGTTTTCGTCCAATCGCATGTAACGGTTATTTTATATATAAGCTAATAGAAGCTAAAAGCCTCCAATTAATGCAAGTACGAGTATATGACCTATTGAAGGTTAACAATAATTGAATGCATTTAATTGTATACTTATTCGAATATAAATATATATTTTATGTAATTAAATATATATACATTTATGTCTATATATATATATAAATAAAAATAAATAAATAAATAAATAAATAAATAAATAAATATATATATATATGTATATATATATATATATATATATATATATATAAATTATATTTTTTTGAATTTAGTATATTTGTTATTTTATTATATTGAAATATAAAATAATAATGTAAAGAAATGTATGATATACGCACATATACACACATATATATTGTTATATAATAAATGAAAAATTTATAATTAATATATATTATTTATAATTAAATTTATGCATCAAAAAATAATTAGAATAATTTATTTTATATTAGGTGAGTAATATATTTTACAAATATATTACTCATCTAATGACTATGTTTTGATAAACATGCCAAAGGATATAATTTTAATAGAAACAAACACAGACATTATGTTCAATATATATACATGTATATAAACATATATATATACACACACACACACACACACACACACACACACACACACACATACACATATATATATATATATTGAAATATTAGATGAATACAAAAATTATTCATAAATTTTATAAAAATTCCAAGAGTAATGTAAAATGTAATTTTCTTATGATGAGTGTATCCGTAATTATGTGATTATATGTAACTACATATCTAAAAATAAATATGTATCATAATTATTGTATATTCTAGATTTCTTTCAAAATACTTGGAAATTGAAATTATGTTTATTTCGAATCGAGGACACTTTTTAAAGGATCGTAGCAAAAGGCCGTGTTAATTAACCGATATTCTCCCATGAGTCAGCGCGGGAAACACAATACTTTATATACGAATAATATGGCGCTTTGTTCATATCATTTTAAATCGGGCAGTATTAAAAATTTGTTTTTATAACTTACATAATTTGCTAGAAATAAATATTTTATAAAAACAAAGGTATTTTTAAGCATTAATTATTGTAATTTTATTAATAACATATTATTATAATTTTAAAAACAACACACACACATACACACATATACATATATATGTATATATATATATATATAAGATTATTATATATATATATATATATATATATATATATATATAAGATTATTATATATATATATATATATATAATAATCTTATATATATATATATATATATATATAATATATATATATATATATATAATATATATATATATATATATAATATTATATATATATATATAATATATATATATAATAATCTTATTACTTTTAACCTTTCATTATAGAAAGAAAAAAACAAGATAAAAGAAATGTTTAAAAGCAAACGATAATTAATTTATATAATTAATATTATTGCATAACTCGCGTTTTATATATTAATCGTTGAAACAATTTATCTTTCTGATAAATATATAATACGAGAAACCCAGAAAATAAATAATTATCTTCATTAATTCGTAACTGTAAAAAATAATGATTCACATACTATAGTTCATAAGTTACCATTTTATTGTGAAGAAATAAATTAGTAGTGCAACAACCGATAGTATTAGTATTGTGCATTTCCCAACGGATATAAAGAGAGTGTTACCGTAATATCGTGCAGTCTCTTAGCGGCATCATCAACGTACACTACGTAATTTCTCGTCTTAAGTTAACGATCCGTGTGAGTGAGACGATCTTTACCGTTTCTCTTGTTTTTTTCTTTTCGTACCTCATCTTACATTATTCCGTCGTTAACTATCGCGTAATTTGTTTTCTTGCATACACATACGCACTAGCACAAATGCACACAGAAGTAACAATTAAATATTTAACGTTAACTTTTAGACGAATCGAAAAGGAATTCTTGTGAGTGTTATTTTCTCTTGAAAATCAATTTTTAAATTCGTGTTGTGTCATCGTGTATTTATAGTATAGTGAACAAGGAACTTGTATTTCTGTGGATCATTTCTGAATTTCTTTTATTCCAATCATTATATCATTTATTATAGATCGGCGATTAATTCTTTTTTTTTTACTTTATTAGATCGCATCGATCGGTAATAAAAGTATGGATCATTCTTTGTAAATCATCTTTAATTTGGTATTCTTTTTCTTTCTTTTTTTTTTACTATTTCTTATTTCGATCCTTCATGATTACATCTTATAAGATATGTAATTATTATTAATTATATTATCAATGTTTTATTACAAAATTCAATAATATCTATTATCCGAATGGACTATCCCTTTTTCACGATCATTACCGTTGACATTGAATTAATGTCACAGGAAGTAGCGGATGAAAAATGAAGTTCCATCAGTGAATTGTTATCACGATATAATATCGCAATAAGTATATTTATTTGCATGTGTCCAATGTCAAGAGTAACCAAGCAGAACTTTTTTCTCTTTTTCCCTCTCTCTCTCTCTCTCTTTTTTTTAAGAGTATTATTAAAGAGTTAAAGTTAACACATGCGACGCATACGCGTTATATTGTATTGACTAATTATGCTTATAGTACTGTCATTGAATAATAAAAAGGTAAACTGGCATCTATATTTTTCAGTATTCTGTTCAGAGTGTTCTGTGTATTGATATGCGGAAGCATCATCATACTGTTAAGTATTTTGACTATATATGACAAATATTACATAAAAAATAAGGAGAGACTGAAAAGTATATATATGTGTGTGTGTGTGTATGTACAAGTATGTATTGAAATTGTTGATTACTTGTAAGTTATTTTGATGAGAAAGAGAGAGAGAGAGAGAGAGAGAGAGAGAGAGAGAGAGAGAGAGAGAGAGAGAAAGTAGATTTGTACATATCTATGTCAATAAATATCAACTATAACATATATCATTAAATCTATTTGAACTGTTTGATAAACATACTCGTTAAAATTTCTCGAATGTGTAATAAAATATTATAATTTGCGATCTAGCGTAATCATCATTACATGATGAATCGGGTAGACGTTATATCCTTTTACCTGTTTTCTTTTTTTCTTATCTTTTTATCATTTTTTTTTTCGAATAATCTCTTGTTTTCGAAATACGATCGAGAAAACAAACAGAAAGGATACATGAATAATTGAAATCACTTGTATTTTATTTCAGTGTATCCTGTGATTCTTTCAAGTGAAGTAACGTCGATAAATATTTTAAAAAATGTGGATCATTGGATCATTGATTAGCTTCCTTGGTCTTCTACAAATATTGCCGTATTACGCATCGGCTCAAGGTTCGTAATTCCGTTAACGTTTTGCGAAATTCTTGAATATTTCGTTCTTGGAAAATTCCAACGTTTAGCCTTCACGCTATGATCATAGATTCTGAGTCCAATGTTAATGGAACATCTTCGTTCATAGCTTGGTTTTTAATGTGAATGGATCGTTAATCGGTTTTATTCGATTTAAAACGCAGGTTGCACGAAAAAAAAACTCATTCCTGCTTGTAAAATGAAAGAAAAAAGAAATAATAAAGGAACAAAAAAAAAAAGATCGAGATAGAATAAAAGAAAAACAAGAAATGATTTTAATGATTCAAGCTAATTTAATCGCTTAATTTATTTCTTCGAAGAGAAGTTTGTCGTTCGATTGGAATGAAAGTTCGAATACGGTCAAGGTTTAAGCCTTTATATCGAGAAAGTTTATTCGTTGGTTAAGGTCAACCAGATTTTGACGACTCACTGTTTAAATTCTATTCAAATTCGTAGAATCATATTGATTATGTAATTTCTGATTAAATTTTGAAAGTACCCGAGCTATTTTTCCATTACGTATTTAATAATCGATTATTTCTAACGATTGTTACGTCACATATAATAAATACTTTATAGATAATGTGATTTTAACGATTTTTTTATACGTTATTGTATGCAACATAACTACGATGGTATAATGTATGGTACCTTCGAAAAAACTATTTTATTAATTAGCCATGAACAATAAATTAGTTCCTTTTTTCTTTCATTGTTTTCTTTGTATAGTAATTGATTCCTACCATTTACCCATAGCTATCAAAAACATTACATAAATATTATATATTTGTAAAAAAGAAAAAAAAAGAAATAATAATAATAATAATAATAATAATAATAATAATAATAATAATAATAATAATAATAATAATAATAATAATAATAATAATAATAATAATAATAATAATAATAATAATAATAATAATAATAATAATAATAATAATAATAATAATAATAATAATAATAATAATAATAATAATAATAATAATAAAAATTATAATACGTGTTCTTGTAATGATCATCTCATATGATATATGCAGATGATACATGACTTTATCATTCAACAGTAAAGATCCTTGATCCTGAAATCTTCGACATAATTCAATGATTAATATATGAATGATTAGAAAAATTCTTATCAAAGACAATTAGATATTTTTTTATGTTTTAATATAACCATTAATTGTCTTTTTTAGATGCACTGCCATGTGTTAATCCTTTGGGATCCAATGGTCTTTGCATAAATATTAAACAGTGTCAGCCATTACTGCAAATTTTGCAAGAACAACGATCAGAAACGTTCAATTTCTTAAGAGCTTCCGTGTGTGGTTTCGAAGGTAATGATCCACGTGTTTGTTGTCCTAACAATAATGATGACAATAACAATAATAATGGTAACGAAGAGGTTAAAACTACATCTTACGGTCCTCTACAACCACCAATTTGTGGTACCAGTCTTGGAGAACATGACAGAATTGTTAACGGTGTACCGGCAACATTGGGTATGTCATGTTTTGTTTATATATTACAATTATAGTAATATTTATTTGTTAATTAATTATGTATATAAATATTAGAATCGTTTTATATCATAATTAAAAATTTTATATAAGTATATACCATATTACTAATATAGCTAATATTATATATAGTATTATAATATTATAGTATTCATATATGTATTATATGTGTATATATATATATATATATATATATATATATATATATATATATATATATATAATAATATTCTCTCTAATAATATTAAATATACTGTAATAAATGAATTATAATAGAAAATAAATTAGTAATACTTATTAAAATTATTTAACAAATAAATCGGCCATATTGATTAGTATTAATTAATAATGAAATTATTAGTATTATAAATTCTATTATAAATATATAAATAATTATTAAAGCTTCGTATTAATTGATGAAATTTAATTATTAATTAAATTAGTAAAATTAATATTATAGATAACTTCATAATATTATAATAACTTGGTATAATTTAATTATTTTATTAGGCAGTTGGCCATGGATAACAGCTTTAGGCTATCGCAGTAAAAAAAATCCAGATATACCACGATTTCTTTGTGGTGGAGCTTTAGTTTCTGTTCGACACGTTGTCACAGCAGGACATTGTGTTTATCAACGAAATGATTTATTTATGGCACGTCTCGGAGATTTGGATTTGAATAGTACCACAGATGGTGCTGACCCTATTAACATTTTAATCCTAAATAAAATTCTACATCCAAAATACAATCCAACGAGTTATACTAATGATATTGCTATTATTAAATTAGCAGAAGACGTTCCATTTTCACGTAAGTTTTATATTTATATATATATATTTGTACTATATATATATATAAAACGTAAAGTAAATTGAAATAAAAAAAAAATGATAGATTACGAAGTAAGTAATATAATTAATTAATTAAATAAATAATTTTGATTTTATAGAAAATATTCATCCCATTTGTTTACCTATTATCGAGCCATTAATTCATTCTAATTTTGATAATACCTTCCCTTTCATTGCTGGATGGGGAGCAGTTTATTTCAGTAAGCATATTTATTTATTTATTTTATTTTATTATTGTCTTATAAAATATTAAATCAATTTGTGTGAAATATAAAAAATGTCAATGGATAAACATTATGAAATATTTTAGATGGTCCATCGAGTAGTCGTCTTTTAGAATTACAAATTCCTGTAGTTAACCAAGAAAGATGCAAAAATTCATTTAAATCATTCACGAATGCAGTTATAGACGATCGTATTATATGTGCTGGTTTTGCTAGAGGTGGAAAAGATGCGTGCCAAGTAAGTAAACATGCATTTATTATACATACACAAACATATATACATGATTAAATATTCCAAATTTTGCATTTACATGACTAACGTAGTTCTGAATAAATAATTGTTTAGGGTGACAGTGGTGGACCATTGATGACTCCTCATAATAATAGTTACTATCTCATTGGAGTTGTATCTTATGGATATCGATGTGCAGAACCTGGTTATCCTGGAGTTTATTCGAAAGTTTCGTCCTTCCTTAATTTTATTATAGAAAATTTAATATAATAATGATTATATTATAATCGCGTTTCGGATTGTATTGTACACGTAATAAATCTAATTTTTCAATTGTAAAAGTAGATATTAGTTTGTGTGTGCGTCTACATGTATATATGTATATATATATATATATATATATATATATATATATATATATATTCGTTAATATTATGTTTGTATTATGTTTGCTTTCTATAATTGATTTCAATGTGCGCGCGTAAAAGTTATATTCTGATTGGTCTAAGTCGCTTATAATGGATGAATAATATATTTGTTAATACTGTCTACCATTTTATTCGAATGTGTTCAAGTTAACGTTATATGTTAATGTACAAAGTAATATATTAATCATTTATAAATATATAAAATATTTTACTATTAACTTCAAGAAAATCATCTTTTACCTTTACATCTATTTCTTCTAAGCAGTCACAGATGTCAGGATTGATCAGAATGCCATTGGTAACGTTGCACGTGTTACATTCGTTTGGTTTAAATAAGTTCACCATTCCATTGAGATTAGCAGTAACCGGCCATCTGGTTAGAACGCGGAAGTGTGCTATTTATCAAGAATTTGCTAGAAAAATGTCTTACACAATCGTCGAAAGGGGTAGTTTGAACACGACAGATTATAGGATATATTTTAGTAAGTTATTAAAAACATAACCTTAAAAACATAAATTCGTTTTTCGGTGTTTTATAAATTTGGCCTTTGATCGTAAAAGGTCACGTTGCGGGCATACGAGTATATTGTCTTGCATGTCATATGTAATTAATAATCTCTATCGTATCCTCTAATTACATTGTTATTATTATTATTTTCTTATAATTTCAAGTCATTCGTAATGCATTTTGCAAAGGATATTACAAATTCTGACAATTATCGACTTTTTTTTCTCTTTTTTTAAATATCACTTACGATTTATTTTATGATGAATAATTTTTTGAATTTTTCAATATTGGTATATATAATGTAATTATAATATTTTCTTGTACGTATACATATATATTTTCTTTTTTTGTTGTATTAATTGTATTAGTTGTATATTTCGAGATTGGCTTAAATGTCGTGTAGTGACATTTACCTTTAGTGAAAGTAAAATGTTTTAAGAATGTTAAAAAAAACTATTTTGTTTATTTTGCTCGTTTACGTACTTATTCATCTATTCGCTCGTCGGTATTTAACATTCAAATTAATAATTCTTTAATATATAAATTAAACATATGAATAAAATTATTTAAGTAACTAATAATTATATTTTTAATTGACAATTCTGCATTGCAAATTGAAATATATTTAAATGATAAAATAATATTGACAATATTTACTGAAGCTTTTTGTAAACAATATATAATTTCATTAAAAATTAGATAAAATAATTGAATTTTGATAATTAAATAAAAATTCTAAAATATATATTTCTACAACAAAACGATTTGGATATTACAGAAAACGAAGATGGTCCAATTTCTCCCTTCCATGACATTCCTCTTTATGCCGACGAGACAAATAAGATTTTTAATATGGTTGTTGAAATACCACGATGGACAAACGCAAAAATGGAGATTAATCGTGTAGAGTCATTAAATCCTATTAAACAAGATACTAAAAAAGGCAAATTAAGATATGTTGCTAATTGTTTTCCTCACCACGGTTATATATGGAATTATGGTGCTCTTCCTCAGGTATTATTTTATTTTATTTTATCTTATTTTATATATATAAAAAAAAAAAAAAAAAAAAAAAAAAAAAAAAAAAAAAAAAAAAAAAAAAAAAATCATTTCAATACAAGTGTAAAGTGATCCCTTATTTTTTGTTAATAGTTTTATCATTTTACATATGTAAGAAGTGAAGTATTTGATTTAAGCTCAAGATTTAAATGTATATATACTCTGTGTAGTAGTTGTTATCATACTACATATGTAGTAATGGTAGTTCAAGGATAAGAATTATCAAATGTCACTCTAGTTATTTCTTACATCATAATGCTACTTTTAACTATGACATAAGCAATTTATTTCCATTCTTATTTTTCTTCTTTTATTTATTAAAATTTTATTGAAATTCCTTTTCATAATTATTTATTATAAAAGTCATTGTTATGAAAATAAGAAAAAAAGTAAATAATTAGTTTTATATCTTATGTTGTAATTCTAGACATGGGAAAATCCAGAAGTATTGGATGAAGCAACTGGATGTAAAGGAGACAATGATCCAATTGATGTTCTTGAAATAGGTTATAAAGTAAGAAAATACTTATTTTATACAATTATATATAGCATAGTTCTTATTTAATGTCTAATAAATGATTTTATTAACACAGGTTGCTAAAAGAGGTGAAGTTTTAAAAGTCAAAGTACTTGGAGCTGTTGCTCTTATTGATGAGGGTAATAATGTATTTTTTTTTATTTTTAATAAAACAATTCAAATTACTTATTGCCTTTGTAAAATATCGACATTTCAATAATTATTTCAGGAGAAACTGACTGGAAGATTATTGTGATAGATGTAAATGATCCTTTAGCAGATCAAATGAATGGTAAACGTCATTTCTGTGTATAATTCATTTATTTTTTGTTCTTGGTAAAAATCTTATTAAGAAATTAATTTCTTTCTTCAGATATAGCTGATATGGAAAAACATTTTCCTGGTTTAATGAAAGCTACAATTGAATGGTTTAAAATTTATAAAATTCCGGATGGTAAACCAGAAAATCAATTTGCCTTTAATGGTGAAGCTAAGTCAAAAGACTTTGCGTTACATATTATCGAAGAAGTAAATCAACATTGGCAATATCTTATTAAAAAAGATTCACCTACTTCTGGAATCTCATGGTTAGTGAACACAAATAAGAACAAAAATAAGAACTTAGATTTTTATAGAAAATATAATTATATAAATGTTTTTATTTGTAGTACGAATGTAACTATAGATGGTAGTCCATATAAAATAACTTTGAAAGCTGCTGAAGAGATAGTAGAGAAAGCTCCAGAAAAAGGAGAATCACAAAAGACGGAGCCTATTGGTAAGATTCAAAAAAACCAATTAAATAAATATATATACATTAATACATATTATGTATTGTGTTTATGTGCATATAAATATCATATACATTTTTTGTCCCATTTAACAAGATTATTTTTTCCAGTTAACAAAATTTTCTTCTTTCCTCTGCTACACAAGTTATAATCTTTTAATAACTCAATTGATTAACAATATTTAATATTGAATCTTATTGTTGTAACAACATTAAATATTAAATTGGTTATCATTATTTGTATGTAACATGTTTATTAAAATTTTATTTACTTGATATTTTTTTATGATTTCAGTTAATAAGTGGCATTACGTTCACCTTAAATGAAGATAAATGGGTATTTATAACGCAGCAAATTATCATGAAGTTGACACTGATGATGCTCTATTTGCTGGCATTTAATAGAGCAATTTCCTACTTTTCATTTTTACACTAAATTAATGCATTAGTTATCAATATATTCTCACTAATTGTAGATAATATTTAATATCATTAGCAGTACTATAGTAATAAAACGTGCAACACACTAAATTCAATGTTTTAAAATTGACAAATGAGATAATATAACAAGAATTAATATTAATTATTATCACTTATATATGGACAATGAAGCACCACTGTTGATTAAGTCGATATAATGAAATTATAAAAACAGCACGATAACTTTGCTACGGCACTGCATGATTACTAACGTTTTCACTTTGAAAACAAGCCTCATGTTGTAACAGGTTGTGATATATTTACACAAAGTAGCTGAGTAAAGGGTTCTATTAGGTGAAAGTATGTGTTTATTTTTCTTTAACTATTTCCAAATATAATAAAGGTATTTCCTTTGTATAGATATAATTTCTTCAAATTAATGGTTATATCTCTGTATTCTATATTTCAATATAACCCTTCGTCAACATCAGAGATTCAAATTTAAACTAAAGTTTTATGATGTATGTCATTTTAAAGGTAGTACTCCAGAACGATATTACGTTCTTACTTTTGCCGATCTTGTCGATGTTCGTCGAAAGCTCGTAGTACTTGGTCCGTTTGCATTCCGTGATAAGTACTCTCCAAGGAGACATTCGCATTCGTTTTAAAGTTTAGTTGTACGTATTTTATGACCTATTGCCCATCCTTCTTCTCTATAGGAATTTAGACGATATACATATACACTGTAGTAATAATAAAATTTTTTAGGAGGTTAGGAAGGTTCTTACTAAATTGTTTACTTCTATCACGGATATAATCAATCGAATAATGCGGTGAAACTAAAAACAATGGAGATGGAGACGTGATATATATTTTGTATCCTTATCGAAGAGGTAGGGGGTAAATGGTGATGAGTGGTGGGAGACTCGGAGGGGGGGAAGTGAGAATGAGAGAGAGAGAGAGAGAGAGGGAACAAGAGATTGGTTGGTTCTCTTGTAGAGAGAGAAACTTGAAATAGTTATGCCAGACGTAGTAAATCGTCGCGCTGTTGTAGTTAAATTTAAAAAAAGGTTAGACTCTCCTACACGAAATAACCTTCTACTTCGTCGTTTCTCAAGGAAAGAAAATTTATTTTGCAAAAGGAATGTTCGCATGACGTGTATTCTGGATCCAAGTCCCGCGGGAAACGTTCATACGCCTTTTTTTACGGAAAACAACGGAAGAAGACAAGATGTAGGACGATAGGTACGGTAAGGTACATAAGAAGATAGATTACGATGTACATACATATGTTTTTATGTACGTATCTCGTTTAAAATGGAAAGTTCTTCTTACATCGTTCAGTGCCAAGATGAACACGACTGATCTTATATTTTATAAGAGAATTGGTAACATTGAAAAATATAAATGTTTCTTCATGTAACGTATGCGTTATATCTGTATATGTGTTACTTTATTATTAAATAAAATAAAATAAAAAAAATAATAAAAAAAGAAATATATTTTATATCTAAAGATTTTTTTTATGTCTCTACCATCATCTGTCTGTTTTTGTCAGTGGTTGTAAATGTTAGGCTGCTGGTACCGATCATATCTCTCGAGGCTGTTAAAAAGAAGAAACAAAAGAATTGAAGTAGGTAGGTAAAATAGGTGAGAGGGGTAGTGAGGGAAGGAGGGAGGACGAAGTCACAGGTTGGCAGGTACCACTTTTAGGTCGAGCGTGAGACGCAGGAAAGAGTTCCTGCGTTCCTGCCGAATTGTCTGACCCTCTCTCTCTCTCTATATATATATCCATACATACATACATACATATATAAATCTTTCTCCCTCTGTTTTGCGCGCGCGCGCATACACCTTCTCTCCTCCTTTCCCTCAGGTAAATCGAGCAGGTGGAGGTATTGACTACCGTGACGTAGGCCCCGAGCGCGCTCGCGCGTTTCTCTTCATTCTCTTTCGGAACGAAGACCGTTGAGAGACCTATAGAGAAAGAGAGAAAGAAAGAGAGAGAGAGAGAAAGTAGAAGACAAGGACGTGAGTTCGTATAAATCTGACAAGGATAGAACGAACGTTAAACTGAGCACGACGCGGAGTGGTTCTTCGGTCTGCTCCCACCATTTCGCGGCGATACGAGCCAACCAATCAGGGAACGCGTTGTCGCCGTAGCACACAGCCGTGTCGCGGTGGCGTCGTCGTCGGCGTTCCGACCGGCGCAGTCACAATTCCTTCGACCGTCGAGCGGAACGTTTCCGCTTTGCGCGTGGACGGTACCGAAGTGAATACGGATATTCTGTTAAGCGCGCGATATTGGGTTCGCGACAGCTTTTTTATTGGTGATTATATTTCGCGTTTAACGACGACGAATATTTGAATTCTCTCGTTCGTTCGTTCGTTCGTTCGTTCATTCATTCATTTCTTCGTTCGTTCGTTCGTTCGTTCGTTCATTTCTTCGTTCATTCGTTCGTTCTTTACGCGATTCGTGGTAAGTGCTGTTTCTTCGAGGGATTGTTTGTCCTCCTGTCAAGGAAGGAAGGAAGGAAGGAAGGAAGGAAGGAAATAGGAAGTAAAGAGTAGAAGAAGAAGACAAACCATGAGATTTTCTTGGTTATTCCTAGTATCGGTACTTCTCGTTCTTGTCACCGAAGCTAGGTGCAAACGAAAATTCGACGGTGACTTTGAATTCGACGAAGAGGTAAGTTTTACTTTGTTATATTCATTATATCTATCTATCGAGAAGAAAGCTAATATTTCTGTTTTTTTTTGTTTCTTTTTTTTTCTTTCTTTCTTTTTGATAAATAGACGGAATAACGCCGGTAAAGCCGGTCAAATCGTAAAACGCAAAAATGTCACGTATTTTATTTCGTCCTTCGTCGAAATAATATGATTCTCCAACGATGCGATTGTATCGCCCGCCTTTTTTTCTCCCGTCACTTTGCTCTCGCTTTCTTTTTTTTCTTTTTTCTTTTTCTTTTTTGTATACGTATATGCGTATATGTATATATATATATATATATATATATATATATATATATATATATATAATATATATAGTTATTACATGTATGATGATTTATTTAGATTGAACTTTTTCTTTTGATTTCAAACAGCTTTTTTCTTACCACGAGGATAACTTTTAGATATAGATTTTAAGATACTTTTTTTTTTCTTTTTTATTTTTTTCTTTTTTCTTTTATCGACATAAACGAACATCATAAGACACGTAATTACGTTTATAACTTTTTTTTCCTTTTTTTCTTCTTTTGTAGGTTATATAAATAATTTAATTAGTTACTTTATAAACTATATTTGCTATAATTAAGCTTTATTTGTCTCTAATCCGAACGTAACATCTTACATATATAAAAACAAATTGAATAGTATTAGTATATATATCAATCGAACATCTATTAATATTATAACGATGTTTGGTCGTCGTATAAAGGTATCTTAATGAAAATATCCAATCGTAAAACTGGTTCATTATCTCGAACGAGTGGTAGATATTTTTAATTTCGTCTAGTTAACTGGTTGATTTAAATAATATATGTTATCGATATTTAATTGTTTATTTTCCTATTTGCATAGCTTTCGAGTTAACGCGTATACATGCATGCATATATATATATATATGTACGTATGTATATACGTACAGTAAATGTGTACACATATGGCGTATATGAATGCAATACATAATTTGTAAACAACGTTAAATAGGTAGAAACTATCCTTTGATTTTCCCTTGGTGAAAGGATAGTATGTACGAATTTAGTAGGATCACTCTGATCAATTGCACATTGCGAATTTCCTTTTGCTTATAATTTGTTCATAATTAACTGATATATTCGTAATTACGTCTATTTACAAAGGACATTGGATCTTTGTAGCTATTGAATATATATATATTGTGTGAAGTTTATATTTTAAAGAAATTTAATATAAAATTTTGTTATTTTTATAGCTTTCTATTCTTCTTTTTTTTATGACCATAATATCACAAAGTCATAAGAAATAGATATATAATATTATGAAGTCATTTTATTAATAATTAATAATTAATTTATTACGATATACGAATATACATTATAACTATGTAGAATTATGTGAAATTATATCATTATTTTCATTTAGAAATCCATTTAAAGATACTTATAAACATATTATTATCAATTAAAAATAATATGAAAACAAAATAAATAATATAACCCTTTGCAATATAAAGTTATTATTAATCATTGTTAAAAACCGTACTATATATTATATGTTTGTGAATTTTATCTATGATACTCATTGAATAAAAATAATAATATTGTTTGATATGTTTCCAATTTTCGTATACTATTAATTATAATAATATTCGTATTACACACACACACACACACACACACATATATATAATAAATAGTGTAATAGGTGTTAACTATAGTTACAATGTCTTTCAAATCAATATTCATTTTGATGGAATCCTACAATTGTGCATCGTTGATCGTTCTCGCTCAAAAATACATACATATATACAAACATACATACATACATACATACATACATACATACATACATACATACATACATACATACATACATACATACATACATATATACATACGAACATACATGCATACATACATACATACATACATACATACATATATACATACGAACATACATGCATACATACATTTCATCTATATACGTATATGCAACATGCATACGTATGTACGTTCACATTACGGCTGGCCAACTCGAACTTTCGACGATTGTTCCGAAAAGCTCGAATTGTCATTGTCAGAGGGAAAGCTTCGATCTCTGGCCGAATTGAAAGTTCGAAACAAACTGACAAGGAACCCGATCAACCAACCAACCAACCAACCAACCAACCAACCAACCAACCAACCAACCAACCAACCAACCATTGGTTAGATGAAATCGACGAAAGATGTAAATAGCAATTTCTTTCTTTCTTTCTTTCTCCTTTCCCCTCCCCACCTTTTTTTTTCCTCCCACGCTATATATTTTTTGCACGGTTGATCTTTGCCACTGTTATTTTCAGATTTCACACGTACACTAGTATAGAAAATGGATTATTTTTTTATTTATTTTGTTTTCGTTTCTTTTTGAAAAAGAAAAGAAAGAGAGAAAAGCAAAGATAAGAAAAGAAAAGGAAAGAAAAGGAAAGAAAAGGAAAAGAGTATTTGTTTGAAGTTTTAAAGTGAAATAAGAGAATTGACGTAATAATGTCTGCAGTAAGTACTTATATATCGATTGTTCGGTCATGTAATAGAAAAGAATCAGTTATCTATTCGTGGAATAAACATTATCGTGACCCACTGCGACGTTTTCATTGTCTATACGTTGATTTCCCTTTTTTTTTCTCTTTCCTTTTCCTCCTCCTCCTCCTCCTCCTCCTCCTCCTCCTCCTCCTCCTCTTCCGACCACTATTTTCCCATTACTACCCCAAGTCACGTCTAATATTAGTTGTATTGTTTTTAGCACGTTTCAATACGTTCGTTAGAATTTTCACCTTTTTGTTACGCAAATCGATAGGATTGTTCATATCGATTTTTAATGACAATTGCGAGGTAATCCAGTGATTTTTTTTTTTTTTTTTTTTCTAATGGAAATATTTTTCAATTGTTCAATATATGTGTATATATGTGTTCTTATTAAATCATTGATATATTGTAATAATTGATAATGAAGATTTGTAATTATTGAATAATTTATTGAATATTTGTATTAATTTTAGTATATATATATATATATATATACATATATATATATATACATATATATATACATACATATATATATATATATATATATATATTATTTTGTCTTGAAAGAAATTTTTGTTTCATTTTTTTTCTTCCCTTTTATTTTTTTTTTTAAACAAAGTTTTACGTATCTTTTGTTATGAATATAGAAAAAAAAAGATAAAATAAATAAATAGATTAGTTTTCAGTTAATTAAGAATTCAAGGATACATATTCAAACAGGATTTCACAGGTCCATCGTGTACTCTTTATCAGACCTTTCGTTTTACAATCGATGTATGTTTCATTCCAAAGGCAAAAGCATCGATTAACTTTTCCCACATGTTCGTGATACGCAACCGCATCTCGTAGAATAATTACAGCAACACGAGTATCGATAATCACCAATCAACGAGTATTTGATATCGTTATACCAACACAAATGTTTAAAGTCCTTGTTATTGAAATATTTTCTTTATATATATATATATCTTTAAGAATTTTAGATAATTTCAAATTATATGTCTACCTAATTTTTATTTTACCTTCTTTTTTATTTTGTATTTTTAATTATTTATTTTTATATTAAAAACAAAATCATAATTAAACGAAC